GTCAGAGATTTGAGCCTTTACTGTTCTTTCCTCTAATTTGTATACTCTTTCCAGTTTCCACTTTACTCATTGAGTCAAATTAAAAAATCGTTTATTATTTTTGGAAGTGCAATTTAATACAAAATGTTTATTATTGACGGATTTTTGAAAAAAACCCACTAACATTTTTATAAAAATTTACAAGTCAGCCCTTTTAAACTTACGAAAATCACTTTATTATCTTTGAAAAATTTACATGGACAGTTTTATTAGACCACGGAATATATATAGAAAAAATCTTTCAGTGTTACTTTAGTTTTTTCTTACTCTTATTTCCTTCACCAAAAGGCATGAAATTATCATCTTTCATTATATATATATATATATTTTTTTTAAATATTTTTATATAAATATTATACTCATTTTGTTGGGAATTAAAAAGCAAAAATTTTTAATAGGTATATAATTTAATAAATATTTTTTAAAAAATAAAGATTGACCAATAAGAATATGAGAGAGAGAGAGAGAGCAGGGAGGCTTCCCCTCACTCGTTTCCCATACACTGGTTCCCGCACCCTCAGTGTTGTGTTCCGAGGTGTGGTATTCGTTCCCACATAGCTTTCTTGCTACTTATCTTGTTGCCTTAGGTTGTAAGGAATGGTTTGGTCCCTCTCATCCTTGTTGACTCTGAGGGGAGAAGTTAGTAATTTTCGTCTTGACATGCCAGGAAAAATGAACGGTTTGTCGAGTATATCTCATTGCAAAGCTTTGGGTCTGGTATTTGGTTGATGTGGGTTGGCAGCAGTAGCAGATCCAGAACGAAATCTAATTAGGTTATATTATTGATAAAAAATTTTTTTGTAGAAATATAAATTTCTAAAAATTTAAAATATTTTTTGGGTTTTTTCAATAAAAAAATTTCAATAGGGATATTTAATGTAAAAATGGGTGTCAAAGGGGATTTTTAGTAAAAATCATATTTTTTTTAGTAGTAATGAGATCCACCTTCAAATTGGGTCTATTTCCCCTTTAAAGGGGCTGCCTCCGCCACTGGCCGGCAGAAAATGAGGTGGAGATGGCGGCTTCGACTAGGGATGAGCATCGGAACCGGGTACCTGCTTTCGGAACCGGAACCGCCTTGGAACTGCCGGTTCCGAAACTGGAACCGCCTTAAGCGGTTCCAGTTCCGGTTCCTAAAGTTACGGAACCGCCTTAAGTGGTTCCGGTTCCGGTTCTCATTTTTTAGGAACCGCTACCCGCTGGGTATCCGCCGGAACCGGTATATATATATATATATATATATATATATATATATATATATATATATATATAGTATCTAGTATGAATATATGTGTGCGCTATTTTGACCGATTTAGAAAATATTGGTCCGATTTTGTCCGTTTTTGTTCCGAATTTATTCGATTCCGACCGAAATAAATTATAGTTTTATTGAAATTTTTTAATAAAATTGATGTAACCGGGTTACCCGCTCCCGGAACCGGAACCGCCGGTTCCGGGACTGGTTCCAAAAATTGAAGAACTGCCTAGACCGGTTCCGGTTCCGGTTCTAACTTTCTAGGAACCGCCGGTTCCGGTTCTCGCCAAATGAGGCGGGTACCCGCCTACGCTCATCCCTAGCTTCGACACACTTTGACATCACTCCTTTCAACCCTAAGGTGTCATTTGACATGGCAAATGATATATCAATATAAACGCCTATGCATTAATTTGGGTTTCCCCTTTTCTAACCGTAATAGATCGATTGGTTTCTTATCTTGCATTTGATCGTGTTTTTTTCATCAATTTTAAGCCAAGAAATTTTTTTTACTTACTCTTTTAAAGTTGATTTTTTTTTTTTTTTTTTGAACGGAGGAACAAAATGAAAGTGACCTTCGAGTTGAATTACTTACTCATTCGCGGTCGTGGAGCTCAAGCACAAAATTCGACATCTTGGACGATTAATAAACATTCTATGTTGGTTCTTAAATTTGTTTTGAGCTATATAGAGTTGTAATTCATTAACTCTCTTCAAAGGTTAGAGTAAAAGGAGAAAAACCAAATATATACATGTGTTCCTCTATGTGGACACATTAATAGAAATTGTCCATGAAAGTTTTTGATACTTGATAACCGGATTTTGTATGTTAAGAATGGCCAAATCAAATAAATAATAATAATAATAATAATAATAATAATAATAATAATACATTTGAAAAAAAAACTATTGTATCTTTTTTATCAGAAGTTGAATCAATCATTAGAAGAAAGGTTAAATCGATTGTTACAAGAGTAATTAGACAAAAAAAAATTAGAAAACTTATACCACAAATTAAAAGATAGTCTGACATATTTTACAATTCTTTATTTTATTACTTCTTTTAATCATAAACGTTTTAATTTTTTCATTTGATTTAATTATTTTACATTCCAAATAAATTATAATTTTTTTAATTAAAAAAACTAACAACTTTATAAATTTAATGACTTCTTCGAAATTATATTATAGCAAAATGCTTAAAAAAATAACAATCTTGAAAAACTATTTAAAATAGTAAAAGAATAATATATAAAGTTTACATTTATGAGAGAAAGACAGGAAAAATATTCATTTTTTGCCATCAATGTTGAAAACACAAAATTATATTATCAAATCTTTTAGGGGTTGTTCCTAAGTCTATAAGGTGTGGTGATGTTTTTGCTAATGGTAAAAACATGTCACAAAGACGTTACATAAACATTTGCATTTCTTACAAATCTTTACTTATGATATAGGGTGTGGTGATATTTTTGCCTATAAAATTGTTTCCAAACCATAACCATTTACTACTACTCTTGAGTATTTACTTAATGCATAAAAGTACAAGTTATAATGCAACACAAACTTAAATCGAAAAATGTTTCATCGGTCAAACATTTGCAATTTAACGGTGATAACATACCTATGAAAATCACCGCAAGTAAATCAAATGGCTGAGAGGCAGTGTTTACCGCCGGTGGCAATGGTTGCCACATAGGCATACCGCTGGTAAACACTCTGTGACACCCATAGCCTAAGAAGTTAAATGGAACGAGAAATGATACTCATTCCATCTCTAAATATGTAAGTATTAAAGATTTAATATTTGATAAGTCTTGGTAGCAATTAGCTAACATTAATTGATAGACACGAAACTAACATAAAAGTAAGGGAAAACTACAATAAAGTCCCTATATATTGGCCTCATAATCGATTTAGTCTCTATATATTTTTTTTTATTCAATTAATTCCTAAAAACCGGCAATCATATTCAATTTAACCCCTTGACCTGGTCAACAGATCATCCAACTTTCAAAAATTACATTTTTGGCCTACATTACAAAATTTATTACAAATTTGGTCCAAAATTTACACTTTTGGCCTAGATTTTAAGTTTTTTTCACAAATTTGGTCCACAATATACTCTTTTGGCCCAAATTTTAGAATTTTGTTATGAATTCATCCTAATTTTAGTTATTTTTACAACTTTTTTCTTCAAAAAAAATTCGAATGTTTTTTCTTTATGAATTCAAATGTTTTGCGTTTGGAAGCATAGTAATTAATTAAAAAAAAAAAAAACTGTAATCTTTTTAGTTATATTTAGCATTAAAAATAGATGTTCACTACTTTCAAACTTATACTAATGAGTTTTATTATTATTTTCTTTTTTAACTTGTTTAATATGTTAAACAATATATATTTTTTGTTCTATGTTCAACATAAAAACATATGATAAATAAAGAAAGAGTTAACTGCAAGAAATAATAGTGTGTTTAATTTCATTGATTTTTATTATAGCATTGTATTTTGAACAACCTACCTAACCATAAACCAAATACAAAGATTTTTTTTAAGTACAACGAAGATATTAAAGCACAACATCATTAGGTAGACTTTTTAAAGTACGTTGTATTAGTTAATAGCTAAATAAATAAAAGTGGATAATATTTATAAACGTTTCAAAGTTTATCAATAATGTCACTAGGTTTACAAATGGTAGAGTTTTATGTATGGTTGACATGGTACATTTTGATGGTTTCTAGAGCATTTCCAATAACATAAGATGTTAAGTATGTTTCTTTTTGTCTGTAAAAACAATGTTTTTTCTGTGTTATACTGCTACGATGATATTGTTATATTACTACATTGACATAAATGGCTTATTGTCAACAACAATATGCTTATTAGTCCTTTTTGGCTCTTAAACTTAATAGTATACTTCAAAAAAAAAACAATGATACTAAAAGTTGTTTTTTACTAATTTAAGTTTCTTTATTGTGAGAAAATAATGTTTATTTGTGTGATAACAATGCCACAACATGAATGACCTATTGTTAGCACTATGTAACTTTCGTTTAATTGTAAATTATTATATTTTCTACATAAATTCATAGTACACTTCAAAAATAATAGAAGATAAAGATGAGTACATTTTTTTGAAGAAAAAAAGTTGTAAAAATAACTAAAATTAGTATGAATTCATAACAAAATTTTAAAATTTGGACCAAAAGGGTATATTTTGAACTAAATTTGTAAAAAAAAAATTAAAATCTGAGCCAAAAGTGTAAATTTTGAACCAAATTTATAATAAATTTTGAAATCTAGGCCAAAACTATAATTTTTAAAAGTTAAGATGACCTGTTGACCGGGTCAAGGGGTTAAATTGAATACGATTACCGGTTTTTGAAACTTAATTGAATAAAAAAAATATATAAGAACTAAATCGATTATGAAGTCAATATGTAAGGATTTTATGGCAGTTTTCCCTAAAAATAAATAAACTTAGGTCGATGCAACAATAAAATTGATATGGGTTGACCTGAAATTGGGAGGATATTAAACTTCAAAACTTTAAATTCATAATTCTGAAGTTTAGAGACGCATCTGTACAATTATTTGGATCGGGTCAGGTCAGGTCATATTTAACAGGAAACAATGGTAGATTGGTAATAGATTTAGAGGGGACCAAAATCAAAATTCATAGCCATGCAAGAACAAGTATTTGGGTAAGTTCCATATTATATATATATATATATATATATATATATATATATATATATATATATATATATATATATATATATATATCAATCATATCAAGAAAAGAGTAATAATAACATCCGATTCCATTCCATTCCATGTATTTTGTACATCAATTCCATTCCATAAAAAAGAAGACCTATTCCTCTTCCTCCAGCAGTCGTGAAACATCAGTCTTCAACATTTCCATAAACTCCTGCACCACCCAAACCTAAGCATTAACCCCCAAAATCCAATCCAACAAATTCAAAAAAGAAATTTAAGAAAGATACTAACATCAACAAGACCCTCTTGGATAAGCAACTCAGAAAGCTCATCTCCATTGTTATTGTTGTTCACACGAGCAGCAGCTTCAACCACAGACGAAAACACTACATCTGGCGACTCCTGCTGTTCGATCTTCTCAGCCAAATCCCGCAGGTTCAACTACAAACAAAACACATCAGTTTCAGTTTCAAACAAGGGTATATATGTCATTTGTCATTTTTATGAATCTTTTCAAACAAACCTGAGGAGCACTCGAACTATCATTTATGCTTCTAGGTTGAACCCCACTATCCATGGAAGGTGGTTGTTGAAGCATGTTTAAACCAGATCCCCCACCACCAAAAGCTTGGGCAACAATCGGCATCATCTGTTGTATCATACCCGACAGATCAAAACCACCACCACCGCCGCCACCACCACCCATACCAGAAAACATGTTGCTCAGATCTTGATTCCCATCAATCTGTTGAGCAATTTGATTTACCGTGTTCATCATTGCAGGGTTCTGAGTTAGTTGACCCAACATGTTCCTCAACACATCCGGTGAACCGATCCCGGTTTGACTTGAAACTCCAGACAAGAGACCATCAAGTGCAGGATTTGCCACCATCTGACTCATGATTGCAGCAGGATCTAATTGGCCACCAACGCCAGCTGGACTAGAAGTAGGGGGCGCATTAACAGGAGGCACAGGGGCATTACTAGTAGTAGTAGTAGTAGTAGTCACTTCTGGTTTTGTCTGCCGACTTCGTCTCTAATATCACATTCATAGAACATGTCAAACAAGGGTAAATTAGTCATTTTTTTCAAAAATATGGAACAAGTGCACACACCTTGGGTTGTAAGCCTCCTAACCCAAGTCCAAGAGGAACGGTTGGAGCATTGGCTGGAGTGGATGATGAAGCAGAAGCAGAAGCAGAATTTTGAACCTCACTTGCAGATTTTGTTGCACTGCTACTGGTAATGGCAATGGTGTTTCCAGCATCTTCTGTATCCTGCTCAATAGTCAATACTAGATTAGTGGCATTCCTGTAATTATAAAGTCTATAAAAAAAAAATTTTAAAAATGCATATAAGTTAACATACCACTCTGGTCTCAGATACAGACACACTTCCATCTGGTTGGCCTGGATGTACAAAATATGAAACTTTACACAAACCATTTAGAAACAAACACCAATTAAACATGTTATGCAGCATATGACGTACCTTGAGAAGCTGGATTTTCACTCCTTGTGCTATCATCAACAGTAACACCTCTACTTTGTGTTTGCACGTTAACTCCTGCAGCAGCAGCTAAAATAGTGGAATTTTAAAGAAAAACAGAATCAGATCAGATATACTAGTTTTTGGTATGTATAAGGAGATAGCTGGCATAGCAGCAATGGAATCATCAGCTGCTGGAACGTTACTTGTTTCATTAGGTTGTTCTCCTTGGTTTTGGTTTGAATCAGCATTAGTTCCCCTCGGACCGATTCCGGCATGGATATGAACATTTATATGCCTTGGAACCCCAACAGGACCAAAGGGTGTTGGAGGACCACCAAACATCGAATTAGTTTGCAGAGGAAAGGGCTGCAACTCAACAAACCAGTCATCTTGTTGGTAATTAAAGTTAAACCACACAACTCACAACAGAGAGATAAAACAAACAAACCAACCTGTGCCATTATTGGATTAGGCCCAGTTGGAGAGATGTAAACAGCAGGTCCAGCATTTACAGAAGATTCAGCCTGCAACATACATTACACCTTAAACAAGAAACTCCTATAGATCCCAAAGATGAAAAGAGAAAAACAAAAACGACATACGGGAGACTGTCCGATACGCAAAGTCAACATTGTACGCCCAAGCTCAAGTAGAAGGGCGCCTAAATGTTGCATGGCAAGACCTGACTGCATGGCTTCTGACTGGATTTGGGTTCTTACTGTCAGATCAGTGCAACTCTCCTCTTCCTCCAGCCTTCTTGCAGTATGCTACAAGATACTTGCAGCATAACATATTAGAATGGGTTTTGAAAAAAAAAAAAAAAATACTAAATTAGGGGTAAAAGATAGTACAGAAAGAGAATCAGTAGCAGGCCCATTGAGAAGTTGTAGAGCATGTCGCATAACAACAGCCAGAGCTGCAGGTGTAGGCACGCCACGAGGACCAGATGGCAATACTACAGCTGGTGGGTCCTCCGCACCATTTGGAGCCTGATTTTGCTGATACCCTACCATGCCATCAGATGGAAACAAAATTCAGATTTAATATATATATATATATATATATATATATATATATATATATATATATATATATATATATATATATATATATAGCAAGAGCAATAATTCCTACCATTATGTGACAATGCCTGCTCCATTCGATTCATGAACTCGGAAAGTGTGTGTAATGAATCAGGAATTGGCTGAAAACACATGAAACGATGTAAGAGTAAGACAGCATAAAAAAAGTAGAGACAAGATAATTGAATATGGAAGAAATCCTGTAATGTAATGTAATTCTACCGTAACAAGTGTTGGTAAAGCCATTCCTGGAATGGCAAAACCTTGAGAACTAGGTTGACTAGGGTTTCCCTGTTGACCTTGATTGTTGCCATTAACTCCAGCTTCATTTCCTTGGGCAACTTGCACAGGAACATTGAACTGCAAACAGGTACACAACCATAAATTATATACAAGGCTTACGACTTAAGAAACAAAGAAAGAAAGATCAAAAATCACCTGCATATTTGGCAGTGATCCACCCATGGACACCTGGCCTTGTCCCTGGCCCCCAATTCCAAATGAATTTAAAACAGCACCAATGACCTAAAACCGAAAGAATAAAGTACAAAACATAAAAGGCATTACACTACAAAGGGTCAGAAAGAAAGCACACACCCGACTAAGATCAGGATTGCCATCTTCATTTCTATCTGCAAAGGTCCCAAGTACTACACTATGTGAAATATGACTGACACGCGGACGTGCACCTCCACCATTTCCATTTTGTCCTGTTACAAAAAAAAAAAAAAAATGCACATATATTCAAATGCAATACTTAAAAATAACTTTTTACCAGTGCAAAATTGGCATAAAGAAAACACCATATCACACCTGTATTACTACCATTTGCAGTTGTTGTGGTACCAGATTGAGGTTGTGATTCAGAAGGCTGTCTAGCCACTAGATGCAATGTGTCTCCACTTCCAACGTCTGTAGATCGTTAAGGCTTTCTTTCGTATATACATTCTAACACTAACAAGTAAGAACCATAATCTTGCTAGAAATAAACCAGAGAAATTAAGCAAGAAAAAGTAGGATACGATATTCAGAAAGGCGGAGCTCGTCCTTCAACACCTTGCCCCGAAAGATGAGCCGCTGCTGTCCAACTGGAAGCCCAACATCAGTAGCTATTTTCTCTTTGAATGCTGAAACTAGCATCTGGAAGTTTTCACAAAAACATACAAGTCAGCTATATCTGGGGATAAATAAAATCAAATGAGAAAGAGAGGAAGCAGCACACACATTTTTATCTACATTAAACTGGTATGACTGTGAATCAAGTGTCTTGATACGGATCTCCACAGTTGATTCAGAACTTTCACCACCAAAATTGCCCGTGCTCCCACCTTCATCAGAATGCTTATCTGCCATGGAATGCTTAAATCTGAAACAAGGCCCACAGGATATCATCAGAACAGTCCCAGTTACAAAATATACCAGAATGATCAAACTGAACAAAACTAACTACTCATAACTCATAATGATAAGACTTATCCAATTTAGGGAGAAAACAAAAAAAGCTCATAAGATTGCAATTGATCAAAAGCTCCAAAAACACCAATGCTGACAGTCATGCATGATTAAGAACTATGGATCGTCCATCTCTTGGATTTCAGAGGAATAAAAGTTGGTAGACTCATAATCTCATATCACATTCACACACAAGTTACGGTACAAAAGTACTAATTCCGTTGGCAGCATGTCAATCTTGATACTAAAATTTCCAAGATTCGAATCTATACATCAGGATTCATCTCCAATGTTTCAAAAGTGAAAATGTAACTTCAAATAAAAACATTAGGCGGAACAATCGAAAGTTGGGATAAAATCAAACAATCAAGTATTTGGGGTTTTTTCTCAAAACGTAAGTAAAATCAGGGTTTGGGATTTTCAGAGAACCTGACTAGGGCATTGACTTCGGAATTTAAACGAACATTGCAAGCAAACTAATAGAATTGTGTATTTGTGTTTCTACGAGAAGAAAAAATCGAACTTCGTTTAGTTTGACATGAGCACTACAAGTATAACTCACTTGATTGGTGCAGAAAAAAAAAAAGTTAAGGAAACATAAAATCGAAATCCAAGAACTGAGTTGAGATTGCAAATCCTTGAAACTGACAAGAAGATTCATTTCAAGCGAAAACTTACAGAGACGATGGTTGAATGCCGAAGAAAGGAAGAGTGGTTGCTTGACTCCCTGAAGATTCGTAGTTGAGCGACGTCGAACGATCTAGAAAAGAGACGATGGAAACGAGCAAGTGAAATAATTTTCACGACCAGGGTATATGTACTGAAGGGTGTTTGCATAGCTGCTTAAAAAAAGTTTGGGTTAGTCCAAACAATTTATCTCATTTATTTCATAAGTTTTTTTTTTTTTTTTTTCTTGCTTGTTTGGATAGAAATAAAAAAAGAAATAAAAAAAGAAGATGATTATTGTTTATTGTTTAATGATTACTAGATGTAAGATCCATGTATTACATGAGTTCATTTTAAATAAAAAAAATATGAAATTCTAAACATTTAAGAAGTTTAAATTTATAAAAACAAATATCAAAAAATATTAATTATTATTAAAATTAAATTGTTTGTTTTTCTTTTAAATTAAACAAATCTCTATTCTAATAAAAGAATAGTTTTATTCTCCTTTTGACATGTGTCACCATATTAGACTTCATAATTAATGCATATTTTATTTTTCTTATGTCATGTGTCACCTTATTATGTCTCCTAATTAATGCATGTCATTTGTCAACCTATTGATTATCCATTTCAAAATTTAAAATTTAAATTTCTACTCTAATTACATTAAATTAATAATATTATAATAAATGTTAAAATAAAATTAATCCAAATTATAAAGTGATATAATTTTACATATTTTTTAAATCAATGATTATAATTATATATAATTAAAAAAAATCTATTGATTAATAATTTATTTAAAATTAGTGTTTAATAATTTTAAGTTTTTTTATTATTAAAATTTAATTAAAGTTATAACCGTGGTTCCCACGGGTTATGAACTAGTAACTTAGATAAATAAACAAAGAAAACTAATGAAACTTTAATTTAGAAAATTTGAAATTAAAATAAAATCAATTAATAAAATTGATATGCATTTAGTATTACATTTATTGCATTTATTACATTTAAATATTATGTGGAAATTAATAAAATGAGAAAAACCATAAAATGTCATTTGGAAAAAAAATTAATTGAAAATAACCACAAAATGATATATGCCAAATCAATGAGAGTGTAATAAGTGGTAAAAAGTTCTTTATTTATTAGGGAAGGTTCCCACAATAATAAGTTAAGTTTAAATGTTTGGATAAATTTATTATAAATCAATTTATTGTGTTAGAAATAAGCTAAATAAACTAATTCTAATAAGCATCTCCTCCTTAGTTATTTTCATCACAAATAAACTAATAAGCAATAAGTTAATAAGTTAATCCAAATACCCCCGTACTGGATGTCATTTATTTTAAAAGGCCACTCAAGTTTTTTAATTTTATTTTAAGTAATAAAGTTTTTTTTAAAGGAACTTTCCTAATAACGAGCTCACTTTCGCGTATGGACTAATTACTAATCATTCATTGCAAATAGGAGACTATGTTTCATGTCCTAAAGTCACTGCATGCAAACTTCTATGGTCACAATGGCTAAATAGTATCAAGATTTGAACATTGATCAATAGTTTATCCAACATATCTTCCACATGTTTTACCAAGTCACCACAACCTCAATTTTAAAGGTTTAAAATATCCTTATTTAACAATGTATCAGGTAAGTTGGTAATTTATGTGTCATGTAATCGATGATGGTGCAATGTCACCAAATGAGATGGACATTTATACTCCATTGTGTAACGCTCATAAATTAGAGTTAGTCAATTTAGAGACAATAAGTATCAAAAATGACTTTTTGATGGAAGATTATTTAGAAGAATTAATCTTAACCAAGTTGTAGTATATGTCACAAGGTTTCTGTGCATATAAAGAACGCCAAAATCCGAGTTATAACGAAGAAGTTATGACCTGCCGAAGTTTCGCGACAGAACCGGTACGACACAGCGCTACGTAAATAGTGAATTTACGTTAGAGAGATATTTATCCAAAACAATCTAAATGAGAATTGAAGATCTCATTGATAGTAGTGCAACGACGGAAAGACGGACGAAAACGGAGTTCAGATGAAGGAGTTATGAATTTCGAACAGAGTTTTCCTGTCCCGGCCTACTAAAGATAATATATAAGTAATATATTTATAATATATTAAAAATAAAATCAAAATTAGCCAATGGAGTCTAAACCAGAGTTGTAGAGCATAATCTCACCTTCACGTCGATATAAAGAACGTTGAAAACGGAGTTCGTATGCGAAAATTATGAATTTCTGAAGTTCGGGGCACGAAACCCCAAAACTGTCAGCGACCACGACGTGGCAAGCCTTCTGACACTTCCGGGAGTCCCCCAGATTCAACTTGAGAGGACGCATGCAGTGACAACGACGTGGCAAAAGGTTCCACGACGTGGAAAGGGCCGGTTTTGCCCTAGTTTGAAGGGCCAGCCGAGTTTGGTTGCTCATTCTCTCATCTCTCTCCCATATTACATCGTTTTACGTGCAATTTTAACCCCCCCGAAGCCCCGGTATCACCCCGAGACCCGGAGCGAGTCCCGAAGCCCGAAGATCCCGAGAAGAAAATAGTTTCCGAGCCGAAGCTCTGTCCGCGAGAAACCCGGTGTGTGAAGTGATCCCGGTTTCACCGAAGAATATCTACTCTTAGAGCCGTAGTGTTGTCCGATCATCTTCTGATCAAGTGAGTGTATAGTCACTTTAATCTTACACATAGATATGAAGTATTTTATAAAATACGTGCTATGTGTATATATATTGTTTTTTATACGTGTGAGTGTATAGCTACTTTCTTCTAACACATAAATATAAAGTATTAGCTATGAAATACGTGCTATGTGCTATATATTATTTGTTTATTTGAAATGGGCATGGAATTGATGTTTTATACAATTGTTAAATGATTTAAACTGTGTAAGTATTTATATCTACAAAAATGTTGGGTAGAACAAGTGTAGATGGGATAGTTGGCGACTATGCGACTTAGTGCCTATCGAGTAAACCTTGGTGACGATGTGACTTCGTGTCTATTAAGTAAACCCTGGCGACTATGAGACTTAGTGCCTATCGAGTAAACATTGGTGACGATGTGACTTCGTGCCTATTAAGTAAACCCTGGCGACTATGCGACTTAGTGCCTATCGAGTAAACCTTGGTGACGATGTGACTTCGTTCCTATTAAGTAGACCCTGGCGACTATGTGACTTAGTGCCTATCGAGTAAACCTTGGTGACGATGTGACTTCGTGCCTATTAAGTAAACCTTGGTGACTATGGAGTTAGCGCCTACTATTAAGTAAACCTTGGTGACTATGGAGTTAGCGCCTACTGTTAAGTGAACATTGGTGACTATGGAGTTAGCGTCTGATAACTATGGACTTAGTACATGATAGATAAACTTTGGCAGCAATGGACTTCGTGTCGATTCCTTAGGTAAATCCTTAGGAACGAATGAATAAAGGATAGTTGATTCTTAGGGTAAAACCTTAAGAAATAAAGAAGATAATGGGGATGGGTAATTGGGTTGATTGTTTGATAATTGAATATAATAAATGTATTATTGTGGGTTGAAAACCCTATATGCTCACCAGGCTCCCAAGCCTGACCCACTCAGTTTTATTTGCATTACAGGTAATGGCACAAGAGTATAAGTTGGTGGACTTGACGAGAGATTTTGGATTATAGATCAGTAGTTATAAATAACTGTTGTAAGGTCTATTTTATATTGTTTATGCTTATGGTCTGTATCGGAACATGACATCCCGAAGTTTTATTATTTAATGAAAATACATTCTCTTTGAGAAACATTTTGATAAATTTTATCATATTTTGTTTTGGGAACAAATTCCGCAACCGTTTTCTTTAAACGATCACTCTGATTTATAAAACAAAGCATAAACAAATCGGTTTTTTCTGGCCGTGAAATTGGGGATGTCACACACTGTATTCGAAAGGTTTTAAATTAAACATTGTATCCCCGTTCTTGTTTCTTTTCTCTAGTCATGAATTGAAAAAAAAATCTCACAAAGTAATCCTCTCGATGGCAACATTCGTCAAGATCAAAGTTCATTTCTAAAGTATGTTCATTAACAAACCTTTTTGTTATTTTGATGGTATACAACATGTATGAGAATATTGATTTTGTTGGTATGTCTCAGAAAGAATTTGTTGCTTTTCTCATGGACGATGCTTTATTATGGTCAGGAGGGTTTGTGGCCCCACTCTCTAATTTTCATACATATTATATTTCCAACCCCCCACCCCCTCCCAACAAAAAAAAAGTGCAAGCTCCTTCCCTGACTTTTCTTGAACAATTCATACAAGAGAAATGCGAGAAGCTACAACGTCCCAAAACTTATAAAATCTTTTTTTAATTAAAATAAGTTAACCAATTAAAACCCTTTAATTAAAATCATTAAGTAACGTTTATTTGTTTGAAAATCATAAGATTAACATGGTTGAATTGCAAAACAGCAGAAACCAATGTCTTCAATGCGATTGTATAGTCCTCCCGAGCTCTTTTCTCGAACAACTTGCAAAACATTTAATTTACAAATGTAAACATAAAACTTAGTGAGTCCCCCAGTATATTGTATATTACAACATATATGCAATGCATACAAACAAGGTTCTCAGCTCTAACGTTAATCTGCTAACTCTCTTTCCAATATGCATACAACACACACATATTAATCATGTGTATCGTCCACTGGTACTTTTGCTACCACAAAACTTGTCAGGGCTACATCTTGGTCTTTCATATAGGTCAATGCCCATGTCAATGTCCATACTGATTCAGTGCTAATAACGGCTACTGCTTCATGAATACATAGTCATATGTAGTCGGGAGTCAGATAGCGGTCGAATAGATGGCCATACCCGAGAGTAATAAATCAAACAAGACCATGAAATAAGTATTACACTAAGAGTTCTCAGGCTATCTAACTTAAACTATATACAACTCCTAGGGTATCCACTCCACGACCAACCAATACTATCATATATGATCCAACTACGATCTTTCATACAGGTGTTATGATCCAACCATAATCTTTCATACATGTGATTAGATCCATCCACAGTCTTTCATATAGGTATTGTGATCCAACCACAATCTTTCATACATGTGTTGTGATCCAACCATAGTCTTTCATACAAAAGTCACAAATATTGTCTAGCATACCATGACACCAAGTGTCCTATATTGCACATACATAACAAGGAGTTATCATAGTCAACTAGCATTCATGTACTCTAGAAGCACCATTGTCCTATCATACAAAGGATATATAATGTCACACGTGGCAATGTGAGAAGACTCACTTGAACTGTAGAACCAGAGAAACATTGTTACACTCTCAACTCTTGTATTGATCCAACCTGCAAAACGACTATCACCAGATAAAGGGTAAACCTCACCCTACAACCCAAAACCTTCAGGTTTAACCGAAAGTCAAACTTGTCAAACGTCAATGGTCAATGGACAACAAAATATAATTATCAACAAGTCAACAGTCACCACGCGATGGCAAGTCCAGACAAAACAGACACGATGTAGTGCATAACCACGTCGTGGTGTTCTACTCCCTGCGACGTGGTTAACGTTCCCAACAACTTCTTCCATTAAGCGATTAACCCTTAACGAACATAACTTAAAAGCTCGGATCTAAAGCTTCCAAAGGACTTAATGGATAAAGTTCATGACTTTATCCATTACACCACCAGGCCAAGGCTAAAACTCAAACCCTGATTCTCAAATGTACTCAAAATGACCAGCAAGGCAAGCATGGATTGGAAGGGGTTCAAGGACCCAACCTTCTATCATGATAATGGTCTAGAACTGGAGCCTAGCCAACAATATCCGCTATAGTTCTCTAAACTCCAATCAATATGAGACCAAGAGACCATCAATAACCAACAAAACTTAGATACATGCATGGAATTCAATAAGCAAGGATATTTGATACTTACGAAGGTCCAAACCTGAATAGAAGGTTGCACATTCTATTAATTTAACATGCTTGCACCACAATACTTGATCATTTCTATTATGTGATTATGTGTATGATATGTGGTAGTTTGGGGAGACTCACTAAGATTCGTGCTTACAATTAATCCCCCCCCCCCTTTTGGGTTTAAACCCAGACCAACCGACGATCTTAATCAATCATGGCCCCGTTGGCCCCCAACCAGTCAATCCTAGCAATCACCTTCAATCCTCACAACGGTATGGGACCAAATCAACGCGAAACTTTCGCCATGCACATTCAGGACACAGTCCTGATATACCCTCTCAACACTCACCGTGCGATCATCTGCAATCTCCACCTCGAGCGGAGTATCCAAAGTCCTCGGCGTGTCCCATAATTTCTTGCTAAGCGCAAGAGACATGAAAGATCGGGTAGCACCCGAATCAAACAAAACATGTGTCGACATACCATTGACTAAAAAGGTCCCTAAACAACATAATACATACATATATATATATATATATATATATATATATATATATATATATATATATATATATATATATATATATATATATATATAAGCACTTCAAATAATAAATATAAAGCTGAGAAGAATGCATACATACTAGCCACAACGTCTGGTGCTGCCTGAGCCTCCAAGGTAGTCAACTGAAATGTGCGGCTCTTCACCGCTGGAGCTTCCGCGCGCCTTGATAGGGCGGCCATCAGTAATCCTCATAGTGGCGGGCGCTGGCACCGCCATGGCTCCTCCCCCTCAACCTAGGACAATCGGCCCACTTGTGGTCGGTCTGGTTGTGATGAAAACATATTAAGCCCTTCTTGGGGTAGTCCCTACTCACGTGGCCCGACTGACCACAAGTATAACACACTGTGCCCTGACCCCTACATGCTCCTTTATGCGACCTCCCACACTTGGCACACCGGCCCCGACACTGCTGGCCCTTACCCGAAGAATCAGAGGTCTTAGGCTTCTTAGCCTGAGCCCCTGCTATCTATACCTGCTCGGTCTTCCGCTTCGTGCAGGACTCCAACTCCGTCTCCCTCTCACGAGCCTTCGCCACAATCATATTCAGGGTTTTGCACCCCATAAAGATCACAAACTCCCGAATATCATCCCTCAGCATGGAATGATATCGGGTCCGCCTCATCTCCTCATCAGTAGCGTACTGTGGAATCAGCAAAGTTGGCTCCTGAAACTTGGGGGTGATCTCCGCCACGGTCTCGGTGGTCTGATGCAACCCATGAAACTCTCGCACCAATCGTTGTACCTCAACGGGTAGTGCAAACTCCATATCAAATCGTCGAACAAACTCGACCCATGACATCTCGACCACTCCGGCTGGACCCTCCTGCCTAGTAAACTCGCCTCACCAATCTTGGGCCCTATCCCTCATCATACAAGAAGCAAACCCAACCTTTACCGCATCCGGGCAGGAACTCGTGCGCTGGGCATTCTCGATATCTGTTATCCAGTGTCGATTGACTATAGGGTCCCTGGCCCCGAAAAACTCTGGCACCCCGCACGCCTTGAACTCTCAGAACGAGGGAGTTCGTGCCCTGACTTGACCCGCAACAATCTCAACCCTGAATGATCCGAGTCTCTACTCCATGAGATCCATAATACCCTCCTTGACCATCCCAAAGATAACCGGGGTCGCGTCAAGGATGCCCCTGGTAACCTCGGCCGCAATGAGCTCGCGTAACCTCTCATCAATGACATTGGTAGTGTCTATTGATCCCGCCCGGATCCAGATCCCGATCTTGATCCCTCAGCTCCAAATTGTGTTACCACCATGTTGAACAGAAATATAATAAATTGCAATGATCAGGATTACTATATAAGGGATCTTCCCACACCGATCCTCCTTGAAGTCATCAGATCCAACATTGGTTCGAGTATATGTCTTGTACTTCCAGTAGTACGGGCCCAATACTATCTTCCACACCTACCTGTACCTTTCCCCACTGCTCTACCTGATAACTCAAAATTTTCCCTCAACCAAACCATACTCCACAACTACCCCGCATACTAATCTTAGGTTGTCCTAAGATTTGCCCTATTCATATCAATTAGACCAATCATAACATGTTGCCTTAATGCATGCAAATTGTACACATAAAAGAATCAAAAAGACTTTCGAATAAAAGACTCTACCCTAAGACCCCAACCATACAAAGAACAGGAAGTAAGGCCAAATCAATCATTATGAGGCTATAAGCTCCTAAATGTATACAATTTTAAAAGCATACACATAACAAGTTTCCACATAATCAATTAGGACCGAACATCAATATAACATGGATAACACATAAGGAAACTACTTACTTAGCTCGGCTGATCACCCGCGTTGCACTCTCATCTTTTCATTTTTAGAAAGAAAAGTTTTGTATTACTTTTGAAAACAATTTTACCATTTCCTTAGTTTGAGTCCTGGCACACTCAAGAGTGTGCCCTAATCCCTCAAACCAAGGCTCTAATACCAACTTGTAACGACCCAATTTTTACAAAGAAAATTTTCATTTTTCAATAATCAAACCATTTAAATAAACCATAAATTACCAAAAACATATGTTTTCAAATTCACATTCATTACAACATTATCTTCTTTTAAAAACAGCAGAGTGTCCCAAAACACACTAGTAAATGAGGGATAGAGTGCACGCTGCGCCATCACGCCTTGCCCTTGCCCCTGGGCTCAGATGTATCTGAAACAAATCCACAAACAGTAAGCTTAAAAGCTTAGTGAGTTCCCCATTTCACCCACAAACAAACACGTATAACATAACATACTAGTTAAACAGCTATCCAAAACACATAAACCATGCATGCCAATCACATAAGGAAGCTCTGGAAACCCTCCAGGGTCTTACTCTGGGTGCCATGGGAACCCCCACATGGTCTTAGCCCAATGCCTCGGGAACCCCCTGAGGTATTTGACATAAAATGCCAATGAAACCCTCCAAGGTCTTACACCTAAGTGCCTCAGGAACCCTCCGAGGTCTGACATAGAAACACAATCACATAACATATCAAATCATAGGATGTCTAAGACATGTATCATAATCACATAATGAGTCGGCCTTGGTGCCTTAGACCCATTGGTATGGTGAGGAGACTCACCTCAGTCTACTGAATACAAACACTCCCCTCCTAACAGTTCGCAATCTCCCAAGCTGAATAATAATAGTAATATAATCAATGTTAGGACTTTAAATAAACCAAGGGAAACCCAACCTCCAAACCCCTCCCCAAGGCCCAAAATCCCTTTCCTTGCTAGTGGGCCACAAAGATCAAGTTCAGTATCCTTAATGGGCCTCTTTGGCCCAATAAGGCCCAACTATTGCATCCATGACCCATACAGATGAAAAAGCCCATAACCCACATAATACAACCAAGCCCTATAACTAAATGAGACTCACTGTCTCAAAGGCCCAAAACAGATTAAGGCCAAACTGTGCTGCGTACGCTCGGCGTACCATCCTGGCACGCACAACGTACTGAGGGTTTGGGGACTACGCGTTGCGTACAACGGGCTACGCTCAGCATATGACCAGATTAAGCACTTCCTCCATTAAGTGCTTAATGCTCGATTCCTTCACGTCCAAAAGTCAGATCTAGGCTTGTTAAAACGTCCTAAGGTATAAAGTTGCCAACTTTATGCCCTTGCATGCCTCATAAACTTCCAACACTTCCATTAAGGCCTTTCCAAGGTCTTTAGCCCTTGCATGAGACTAATACATCCACCAAGACTCCATTTTTATGCTTCTAAATGACCAAGGGACCTCAGATCTATCATTCTCATCTCATGTAGTTGCTTAACTCGCCAAAAGAGGTCCAAAATCAACCAAAGGGACAAAAATAGAAAACCCTAGCCAGATCTAAGGATTTAGATGGAAAGGTGCAAGCTTTTTACCTCCAGAAGCCTTGTAAGATGACCACAATGCAGATTCTTGAGGCACCAACCATCCCAAGCTTGCCTAGCAACTCTCCTTCTTAAGAGGTCTCCAAAACGGCCACCAAAACCTTCTTTTTAAGCTCAAACTCTCACTCCCACACTAACTCAGTTAGAAGTAGACGAAATGGGGCTAGAGAGGCTGATAGGGTTTAGTCCAAGAGGTTAAAAGGTGTTTAAATAGGGGCCAAGTCTGGATTTAGGGTTTTGGCCTTCAATTACGTACGTCCGGCGTCCCCTTACGTACGCCCCGCGTACACAATATGTCCCCGCGATCACTTTATGCAGAGTATGCTAAGCGTACCCATAAGTACGCCCGACATACTCCAGGGGAACATGTCTGCCAAATTTGAAAATCATCGAGGGTTTCAAGTCATACCTGTTTTAGGGCATTACATAGTTGAGTCACTTCCTATAGTCAACGGGTTCACTCAAAATCAGAGAATGTTGGGGAACCACAACTCGACTCACCGAGTCGCATGAACAACTCGTCGAGTCCCCCATATGACAAATCCATACAGTTGACTCAAATAAATTCCAACGCTTCCAACTCATAGATCTGGACTCCTTAGGCTAACATTACACATAAAGTTGCTAACTTTACGTGTATGCATGGTGTTATGGAGCTAAAAGACCAATGTCAAGTAAAAATGGAGGTATACATCATGGAATAGGGC